AAAAAAAAAAAAAGAGTATAGTCCCTCCACTGGCTTCTAGCATGGATGCAGAAGCTAGGAAAAACTTTGCAAAGCATGGCATCTTAGGGGAAAGAGTCTTGCTGCTCCCAATCTTTATGGTTTTTGCAAATGATTTACACTCAGCCTCAGACTTCACATCTTAAAAACAGGGTTAGCTTTGTGCATTTTGAAAGAGTATAAGGATTACATATGCTTTTCTATGTAAAGCAAAAATCACTGGACACACAGGAGGAACTCCAAAACAGTCTTGTTTCTCCTTCCTTTCCTGAAGTGACATTCACTTAAACTCAGGAGACAATTGTTAAGCAGAGAGAAATTCTGCAGCAATTCACAAGCAGATGATGATGTTTTGATTTGTTTAATTTATGGATTCCTATTATTGCCTTCCTTGCCAAAAAGCTTTGCAATAAAACACAGAGCAAGAGGGGGAAGAGAGAGAGAGGGACTTGAGAGTGCCAGCATCCTTAAAACATTAAAACCTCAAAAAACGGGTCAGGAAGGAATAATGACTAGAAAAGTCAAAGAAGGCCTGCGACGCGTTCGTTTTAGCTTCCAGGAACTGTCCGAGCTTGTCTACTGTTTTATCACTCAGATTTTAATCGTGAATAAATGAGGGACTGGATTTGAATATAGATTCTAAGTCTAAGCGACCTTGATTGAGTTCGTTCTCAAACCTGGGAGAGCTGGTAAAGGTCCCAATCCGCTTCTGGCTTCCACCGCCCAAAGAGCAAAGCGCTACTCTCTTGCCTGCTTCCCTGTGTACTGCTTTCTCTTGCCCCAGCCAACCTCTTCGTGCTCATCTTCCTGCACCCTCTCTTTTCCCTCTTTCGCGCTTTCAAGAGTAGAGCCCGCGTAATCACAAACCATTCTCAACACAAACCATTCATTCCTCTTTTAGAAAAATCCATGCCTAAAAAGTGCCAAAAATCAGCAACAACTCACACTCAGAGAACCTCCACCTCCTTCCTCTCACCCCAGAAAGAGCAGCCCACTCGCAGCAAGATTGCTGACGCCCGGGTACCCCCTCTCCAAACCCCCGTCAAGAACAACCTCCCCACTGTTCCTGCAAGGAGCGGGTGCCAGCTGCCAGCCGCGCCGGGGCAGCCCCGGGTGTCAGGGTCGGATCGGGTGACAGCGCGGGCGTGCGCTGGCCGCAGGGCCAGCCTCCGGGCCAGCCTCCAGACTGAACCCCGGCCCGCCCTAGACCGCGGCCCCGCCTAGCCCCCGCCTGCCAAGGCGCAAAACCCGGCTCCCGCAGGCACTTGCCACCTCTCACGCCCGCACTAGCTTCTTCACTCGCCCGCTCTCCACAGTCGGCAGCCATGTGTCCGGCCGCCCCGCGAGCGTCCGCAGTGCAATTTCTCGCGTTGTGCGCGCTGCTGTGTTCCTTGGCCGGCGCCTGGGAGCTTACCATTCTGCACACCAACGACGTGCACAGCAGGCTGGAGCAGACCGACGAGGACTCGGGCAAGTGTGTCAAAGCAAGCCTCTGCGTGGGCGGCGTGGCAAGACTCTTCACCAAGGTGAGGCAGATTCGCAACACCGAGCCCAATGTGCTGCTCCTGGACGCCGGCGACCAGTACCAGGGCACCATCTGGTTCACCGTGTACAAGGGCGCCGAGGTGGCGCACTTCATGAATGCCCTTTCCTACGATGCCATGGTAAGACGACGCGTCGGGGAGGCCCGGGAATCCTAGGGGTAGTAGACCCGGGCTCAGAGAAAGCCGTAGCAGCCGATGGCAAGAGTAGCAAGCCTAGAACAAGACGCAGAGATGTGGGGAATAAAGCGAGACAGGACGGAATGTGCCAGGTAGATGTAAACATAGAAGTTCCGCGGATGATTCATTTTCACCATGCAGACGTCACTGGGATCCCACTAGGTGAAGAGGGTATTTAGAGGAGCGGGACCCGGCCCTTCTACAAGGGGGTTCAGCTGGTGTGCGTGGAGAATTGCCAGGGACTGAGTGAGCTAGAGTTACCACCCATTTCTCATTTATTGCAAAGAACGCCTTATCTTCATTTTGTTGAAAGGCAGGTGAGGGTGGAAGAGGTTGAACAAATACCACCAGCTCAAGAAGATTGAGACTCGAAACTCGAAACTAGCAGCTGTGGGACAGATACCTGGCTCAGCTGCCTTCTGGTTGTGGGATCTTGGGCAAGTTATTTACCCTCTCTGTGCCTCATTTCCAAACTCAAACCAAACTCACTGCCCTCTAGTCCATTCCGACTCATAGCGACCTCCTTTGGGTTTCCGAAGCTGTAAATATTTACAGAAACAGAGTGCCTCATCTTTCTTCTGGGGAGCAGTGGGTGGGTTCAAACCATCAACCTTCTGGTTAGCAGCCAAATGCTTTAACCACTACATCTCAGAGCTTCCATTCTCTATTAAATGGTATCTGCCACAAAGTACTGCTTGACCATAATATGGCCTCTGTAAATGTTAGTTCTTATTACTACCAGACATTACAATATAGGTTAAAAAAAAAAAAAAAACTAAAAGAAAAAACAAAAACAAAAAACCACTTGGGAGAGGGCTGAAATACCAAAACACTGGGGCTTCAAAGGACTTCAATACTCTGGGGTTTCAAAGGATTTCAAAAAAATCGGTTTGGCAGCAGAGTTTTAGAAAGAGAGTCCAACTTAACTCATAAGGGCTTTTAAAACTTGTGCTGCAAGAGTTTAGTCCAAGCTTTCCAATGCTGTTAAAAGCTCTCCCTTGTTTGCTAGACTGAATTCCAGAAAAAAAAAAAAAAAAAAGAGAGGAGGGCTACAGAGTAATAGATAAGTGTGGTAGAAAAGTATACAGTATTTTTTAAAACTCAAACCACCCAAGCTTCAAGCTTAACCCTATGTAAAAGCCTAAAGTAAAGGGATTCAGGAATCCCTGGGTGGTGACCACAGTTCACTGCTTGACTGCTAACAGAAAGTTTGGTGGTTTGATTCCACCCAGAGGTGCCTCAGAAGAAAGACCTGATGGTCTACTTCTGAAAACTCAGCCAGTGAAAACTCTATTGATCCATCCTTTCCCCTCCCTGACCATGTTGGCTGCTGCTCTTGGTTGGGGGCCATTCCACCTAAGGCAGGAAGATGGTGGCCCAAAAGAAGACAAAAAAAGTAACTGGAGTCCATCAGCTCTAGGCTCCAACTTGTTATGAAAGGTGGAAATGTGCACTAGGGTACAAGCAGCCTCTGAAGGTGGTCAGGTAAGGCAAAGCAAAACTGATCACCCTCACCAACAAGTGCTTGGCCATGAGGAAATCTGAAATAGCCTGCTATGCCATGATGGCCAAAACTGGCATCCATCACTGCAGTGGAAATAATGTTGAATTGAGCGCAGCATGTGGAAAATACTAGAGTATGCACACTGGCTATCATTGATCCGGGTAATTCTGATAATCATTAGAAGCATGGCAGAACACATTGGTGAAAAATAAATCATATTTTTTTTCTTTAATAAAACTGATCAGAGCTTGATTTAAAATCAAATAAAACTCTATTGAATATAGTTGTACACAGATAGACATGGGGTTGCTGTAAGTCAGAGTGGACTTGACAACATCTGGTTGGTTGGTTGGGTTTTTTTGTGTGTGTTTTTCAAAAAGGATTCAGCAAGACTGAAGGAGCTCTGGTGGCACAGTGCCTAAGGCATTTGTCTGCTAACCAGAAGATTGGCAGTTCAAACCCACCAGCCACTACATGGGAGGAAGACTGGGCAATTTACTTCTGTAAAGATTTACCAGCTCGGAAACCCAATGGGGGTTGCTCTGAGTCAGAATTGACTCAATGGCACTGGGTTGGGTTTGTTTTTTTATTTCAGCAAGACTGAGGAAAAGCTGAGAACAGGAAATCTTAGGAGCTTTAGAAAAGGAAGAACAGAGAAATCTGCTAAATGCTTGTGTGTGGAAGGGAAAGGGAGGTATGGTCCTGGCTGGGATACAGAAGAGCACCTTGGGGGAGGTCAGGAGAGCACAATCCTGTATTTTTTCCCCCTGGAAACTTAGAAAATAAAAGAAAACAGGAAAAGATGACAGAAGGGTAAGTTTAGGGTTTTGCTTTCAACAAGAAAACATGATTTTAAAGAAGTGAGAGGACATTCTTATTGTTGGTTTTGAAGTTATCAGGAACACTCAGAACAACACCAATTCAAACAGATCCCTGAGCTCCACAGTTCATCTGGGAGACTCCTCAGCATTTAGGCTCCACAGAGGAGCTGTGGGTCTCAAGAAGTTGGTGGTCTCTTAGTATTGATATTGTTATAGTGAGGCCTGCCTAGTGCTTTGCACACACTGATGACAAAATAAACATCTGTAGAAGTTGATTATTACTAGCCTACATCTCCCATTTCCTCCCAGAAGGGTAGAGTAAACCTTACCCGAGTTTGTTTTGATTTCACATAAAACCACAACTTTGTAAACTTTTCTTTTTGTGACACACTTTTCTCCATAGTCGTGTAAACTTTTGGCAAAAATAAAATCCAGAATTTCCTTTCCCCTAATAGTATTTTCCTCTTTAAGTAAAACTGATCTCTTAGTGTTAATGGTCGTATCAGTGTTTATGACAGGACTTTTGGGTGAGGCTAGGACAATCTGTTACAAGTCACAACCCAATACAACTGGGAATGTTTAGAACATTTGTCAGATGGAATTAATTATCTTTTAAGCTTTGCTCAAAATAATTTGGACTAGGGCCTGAGGGGGGGTGGAATAGTCTACTTACAAAACATTGGTAGGAGATAAGAAAGGGTAGGAGTTTAAAATGGTCAGGCTGATGTCCCTCTTCCTGACAGTATCTCATCAGGTTTTATCCCATGCAATTTGGGGGCCTTGACAAACATGATTTGACCTACTTAAAACTGTAGTCCTTATAATGCTAAACTATGTGCTAAAGCTCTGCTGTATTATCGTTTTACAGAGATTTCTCATTGGCATTTTGCTTATAATAGACAGTCCCCAGGGAATTTATGGTTGTTCTGCTGCACCTCCCCTACCACACCCATGCACCAGGTCTTGAATGCCTGAAAACAGGATATTCAGATCAGGATGGAAAACAGTTCTGGAGGGAAATATGCAGTTCTGTGGAACCTGGATCTGGTTTAGAGACGCTGTAGGGTATGGGAGGGAAAGTCCTTAGAATCTGACTTAATCCTACCACACACACACACACACCCATTCCCATCCAGTCGATTTCAATCCATAGTGACCCTTTAGGACAGAGTAGAACTGCCCCCTAGGGTTTCCAAGGCTATAAATCTTTACAGGAGCAAACTGCCTCAGCGTTTTCCCATAGGCTGACTAGTGGATTTGAACTGCTGACATTTTGGTTAGCAGCCAAATGATTTAACACATACACCACCAGAACTTGACTTAATCCCAGGAATCTCCAAAATGTGAAGCCCAAAGGGATTCATCTCCAGAAATGGTATTCCTGGCACTGAAGCAGGATATGAGGAGGATGGCTCTGAGAGGGTCTTTTGTGGTCCCCCGGGGCAGGAGTGCTGTGTCCTTTCTAACTGGCCTCTGATTCAAAGCCCTGGCACCTGAGCTCACTTTCTCTCAAAAAAGCTACAGCTTTAGATTTGGCAAATTGCTTTCAAATGCCTGAGTTACCAGTAAGAGTGGGGACTGTGGTCTACTGTCTTATCTTGGAAACAGGATAGTCAGGTTTTTGTCAATTCCCTTTGTTACCACTCAACCTCCCACAGAGATAACCATTCTAATGCTTTGTGTGTACTTGTGTTTTAAAATTATGAAAATAGACCTGTTACTCAACTCATTCTGTTTATTTTTCTCCTAAAGTCATTGTGTTTATGATTTGTCCATATTGCTATATGAAATTTTGTTATGTGTATATAACACACATATTATGTGTTGCATGCTGCAACAGTGGTGTCCTTTCATTTTACTTATCCATCAGCAATCTGGGTAGCAAGGCCAGAGATTGCCTCCAGCTCCCTGCCTCACCAATTTACACTTGTCCAAATATCCTCCTGCAGGTACCTCTCCGGACCTGTGTGAGGATTTCTTTGGGATAAATACTCAATAACAGAATTGCTGACCACAAGGCCTGTGTGTGTTTAATTTGACCAAGTATTAACAGATTGTTTTCCTAAATTACTGGAGCTGTCTACACTCCCACCCCCAGTCCAAAACCAAATCAAACTCATTACCATTGAGTCAATTCTGACTCATAGCACCCTTCCTTGGGCTTCCAAGGCAGTATCTCCATGGAAGTAGATTTCCCAGTCTGCCTTCTGAGGAGCGGCTGGTGGGTTTGAACTGCCAGCCTTCTGGTTAACAGTCAGATGCCTTAGGCACTACACTACCAGATCTCCCCCCACCCCCAGTAAACCCCCATATCTTTATCTGGCAGCATTACCTAGCTTTCTAAAAGGTATAAAATGATTTTCTTTTTAAAAGGTATTAAAAAAAATTTCTAATAACTAGTGATTTGGGGCACCTTTTGATTTATTAGGTTCCTGGGTGGTACAATAAGTTTGTGCTCTACTACTAAGCTAAAGGTTGGCAATTCAGCTCCCCCACCCCCCAGCAGTACTGTGGCAGAAAGGCCTGTTGATCTGCTTCCATGAAGATTATCACTAAGACAACACTTCTGCTCTGGACAGAGGATTCCAAAATGGAGTCTTGTCAGTAATCACTAGGCT